TGCACCTTATACAAGTGTGATGTAGAAACTATGTATGTCTTATGTCAGATGTCTGTCTGTATTGTGTGTGACCTTTGTCCTCTTTTGTTACCTGCACATGTTTTCCCATCATCATTCAGAGTGTATCCAGGCAGGCAGAGGCAGTGGTATGAGCCCGGGGAGCTCTCACAGATGTGCTCACAGCCGTGGTCCGACTCCAGACACAGATCCATACCTACAGCAGGGATAATATCAACTTCAGCATCCATAATAACAATCATTACCAGAATAAGTAGCTGCAGGGTCATTATCAGTCGTTGCCTAAACCTAACCATCCTGCAACCTCTGTACTTTTATTTTGAAAGTCAAATGGGATGTTGCATATGTATTATTGGTAACTAGAGCACAGAACAAGTATGTGTTGAAATTGTGACACTTCCACAGTGGACCAGCATGTGTATCACTGATACCAGGTTGATATACTCTACTATAACTCTGTCTAGCCCTTTATGAAGGCGCAGACAAGAACACAGGGTTGAACTGTCTGCAGTGACAGGTGAGTGGGTTTATCCCCGCACCACCAAATCTCAGCTACAAACTGATGTTTTTATTCTTTCATATTCCTTCACTGTCTTAAATTTTATCCATCTCAGTTTCTCTCCTTTTCCATCTCCCACTCAGGAAAGCCAGAGATTTTTAGTCTAGAATAATAGCAGTGCGGGGAAATAACTTGCACTTAAGGGATTTGTGGAGGCTGTTATGAAAAAGTATTATGTTCTGTGGGGTTAGATGGGCATGGTGATTTTTTTTTATATTCAGACTAGACATTCATAGTGTTTTTAATTAAATAAAGAATCTGGTGTTGCCAACAGCATGGAATTTAAATTCCAGAGACTTGGCTTCAGTTTTTACTTGTGTTACGTTAAGGTGACTTCAAATGGAAGTTATCCGTTAGTGACATTAAATGTGAAGTTCTTTACTCGTTTCAGATGGGAATTTTACGAAAATATGACAAGAAATAATGTAATAAAACCTAAAATATATACAACACATCCAAACTTATTATGTTATTTGATCTTTGTTGTGGATTACATGTTTAACAGACACTTTTACAGGCAACCAATCATCTTTTAAAGATCCTGATTGAAAAATGTTTTTGTCAAATCTGATAATGAAAATACCAAACTATAATTTTACAGACAGTGAGGTCATTTCCTGTCCAGCAGCCTTACCACAGAGCTTGTCCTGGAACTGCAGTCCAAACTGGTGAATGAGATCGAAGGACTCCACCAGGAAGACGTGGTCTTCGAAGGGTGGGGACGCCATGGCTCTCAGTGACGTCATATCGGCTCTGGCCACCCCCACAGCGTAGATCTCAATGCCTTTCTCTCTGGCCTCGGCTGCCACCTCCGCCACGCGGTCCTGAGGACGTCCATCTGTAACGATCACAGCCACGTTGGGGACCTGAGGGACAGAAAACCTCAGAGTTAAGGTAACGTAGGGAGGACGATGGTACTGTATTAAACTCCTCAAGAGACACAGTCACAGTTGGAAAATCACAGTTGTCAACTATATGCACATAAATAAATAAAAAATTCCTTTTCCTTAAATGATATGGACTGTTTCTACATATTATAAGATACAATATTTAGTTCCCAGCTCACAAAACTAAGACAGATACTATAAAACATATTGTTAATATTAACCTACTTTTTTTTTTAGCTCTATATGCATAAGTGTGCTAAAAATTTCAGATCAGCATCCAGTCTATGTAAAAAATTACTGGGAAGTCGTTCAACCAAGTCTCTCTGTTTAACAATTTTAACAAATTCAATAAACTGAACTTCTGGCAGCGACTATACAGTCAAATACAGAGTGAACTAAACACATTTTTCATCTTTTTGTTTTGGTCCACAAAACTGTGGACCAAAACAGGTAAGTAGTCGTCTTGCATTACCTTTGGCCTGTCTCCCTCCTCGGCGATAAAGGCTGCATTCATCACGTATTTGATGGCGAGGCCGGTCATGGTGCCCTGAGCGAGGGGAATGATCTCATTGATGCCTTTCACCATGGCGTCCAGCTTGGCGTGGGTCTTCAGAGAGAACTCACTGCGGACCTGAAGGCAGAAGAGCAGAGAGACCACACTCAGAGACAGCAGGTTGTATCATATTTTTATAAGAACAGATCAGTATTATCCTCACTTTTATTATTAAACTTCACTGAATTAGCAAAAGGGAGAAAGTAGTGAGAAAGTGTTTTCAGTGAAATTAATTCACATTTTGAACAAAAGCAGGGGTAGCTGAACATTTTGATACATACTGTACCTGTATATGATTATCGTTGGTTTAAGAGGTTTAACAATAATACAACTTTATTTACTGTATTTAGCACATTTCACTAAAAAAAGATACACATTATGTGATTGACAAAAGATAAAAAAAAAACATTATTGATTGTTTTTCAGAAGACACCAATAAAAGAGAATTTAAATGATTTAAGATAAAGTTTTAAAAGATTCAGAGTTTTATCTTGTCCAAAGTTATTGTTTGTTGTTGAGATATTTCAGTGGAAGAAAGTGGTTGACTGACTGACTGACTGACAGACACTGCTAACATGGATAAAAACAGCATTGGATCTGGATGCTGTGGGTCTACGGTACCTGGCTGGAGTACTGAACCACTCCCACTCTGGTGGCGTTGAGTCCAATGTCCAGTGTGGCCAGGATGTCGATCATGAACTTCCTCATGGTCTCAAACTCATGTGGCCTTACGCTGCGGGAGCTGTCAATGAGGAAGACCAGATCCACCGGACCAGACTTACATTTCTGGTTAGGACCTGGAAGAAGGAATACAAACATTCAGACAAACATTTCAGGTATAAAATGGGAAATCTTTATTTATGTTGAGCCAGTTGTTCAGAAGTATTAGTGATAAAGTGTCTTCTTGGGAGCAACAGTTCTTGATACTGTAGGAATAAAGTGACAGCTTTATTCTTTGACTCAAAGGTTATATTATATTACAGATTTAGAACATTAATATAGAAGCAACCAAACTATTATCAATATACAGACACAGAGTCACATGGTGTCCCACTCCCTCTGCCTGTGTTGTATTGCAGCCTCTCTGTGGTTTGTTTCCATAGCCTGTCTGCTCCGACTGAAACTGCTGTTTTTATCATCTATGTTGTTTCCACCAAACCAGAGTTGGTGATTGTTGGAACAGCTGAAAGACTAACAAAAACGGTTTTGGTGAGATTTATTTTGTTTGTGTCCACTTTGAAAGTAAAGTAACACTTTTAGGTGATGTACTTTTACAGCTGCATTTGTCTCCAAGGATTAACATTACACTACATGGAAGAGTGTGTGTGAATTGTCAGTGTCTTCAGAGGTGTGTGTGTGTGGTTTTTTTTGAATAAAGCAGCAGCAGATGGTATAACTTTCACATTATTTACCACCTGAACTCACTTCTCCATGACTTCAGCTGCCACAAGGCACCTGTTTTTGTCTTCAAGTTTTCGGTGTTACTGTGAACGCACTCCCATGTTGTAACATCATCTCGGTTCAAAAACACAGCAGTCATGAATGAGGTATGAGGTGAGCCTGTGTTTGCGGTGTGGCTTTATGACTTGGAAAGGAATTGTTTGATTAATGCACATCCAGAATTTCTTCACAAAGGCTGGAAGTCATTGTAGAGGAGACGCAGTGTCAGTTAAAGTATGTATGTGGGATTGTTGTGGAATCCATCTTTAGTTTCAAACAGACATGAGCAATGGCTGCTGTTTAACATCCTATAAATATGTTCAGCTCATTGTCTGGCCTTGTAAATCAAGTGAACCTTCAGCTGTTGGTATAATGTAAACCACATCCCAATGTATAGATCTGATATGTCCCAGGGTGCTTTTAGGGAAAGTCATGATTAACATGATCATGAGAAGTCCCGCTTAGGACCAGTGGCTGTGGCATTAAATGGTAACTTATTTTTCAACCTGGACCTTATTTTCCCACGTCTAAAGTGACTAATGAGGACAACAAGATTTGAATTTGATCCAGTATTGAGTGAGAGAGCAACAACTGCAAAAAGGGCTGCACTGTTAAAATACGTCCATTAAGATAAGATGAAATACGCAGCATCTTTATTGACTCCCCATAGGCACAGAAGAATGTTATACAAAGAATAGAGAAAATACAATAAAATACAATACAATGAAATACAGTGAGATAAAACAGGAATAATATATACAGTATATACAGTCTGTGTGAATGTACATGTGCAAAATCTGTAACTGAATGGTATGTGGTTTAGAGTCTCAGTCAGGGGAGGTAGGAGGTACAAAGAAGCCCCCACAAGCACTTTGAGGAAAGTGGCTGGATGAGTCTGTAGCTGACTGTGCTCCTGAGCTCAGCATAAAGAGGATGAGAGTGGGGAGAAAAAAGTGCTTGTTTTTGCCACTGACCGGCTCAGACTGTCTTTATATGACTCTACAGAGAAATAAAACATTTTCTGTTCCTTTTATTTGATCCATTGTGTGTCCAACCAAGTCTCGCTCATGCAGTCTCAACCTAAAATCTTGGCAGCATGAGGCTGAGTGTTAGTGTTACGTAAAAACTTTCAATGTAAAGGCTGAATATTTCGTTGATTATGACAATGTGGATGAACCACCGTATTACAGATGAAGAGCTCCTACTAACTGAAGAGCAGACGAGGAAGAAGAGAGAGAGAGGTGCAACAGGTAGAGGAGGGTGAACCAGCTGCTGGAAGGCTGCGAAGCTTGAGAGACTCGTGGTTGTCCTCTACGAGAACGAGACTTTTCTTGGGTCAGATGTTACACTGACCAATTAAAGCAAATTTCTCTGTAAGGTCCTCTTCATAATTTTGTCAGACACTTGATGGTAACAGTCTGAGCCTGGTGGCTCACCTGGTAGAGCTGGCCAGCCATGTACCGAGTCCTTACTGCAGTGGTCATGGGTTCAACTCTGACCTGCAGCCCTTTGCTGCATGATATCCCATTGCGCCGGATATCCCCGCCCCCTCCCCCTTTTCTGTCACTTTACAGCTGTCACTATCAATTAAATGCAATAAAAAACAAACAAACACAAAAACAATTTGAGCCTGTTAGTAGCAAAAACAAGTTCACATTGAAGCTCAAACTAATTCAAACCTTGTAGTCCCCATCATCACACAAGAACACGGGAAAATAAGTTTCTGGTTGAAAAATACAGAAGTTACACTTTAAAGCTCAGAGTTTACACCTTGTGATGTACATTGATGTTTTTTAAATGATGTTGGCACCCAAGAAAGTTACTTTTATAATGTTTCTTTCTGTTGTCTTGTATTTCTTATTCCTACAAATGACATGTTCAAAATACTAAATTGTGTACAGTTTTGTAAAGAAGGAGGGTGAAGTTCTCACAACTTGAATAGTGGGAGGGAGGTAATAAAAACACTCTTTCTTTTGTCCTAATCATTTTTCTCTGACAGTATCTGCCGACTGACCTGCTTTGGGCCTGGCGGTGGCGAGGACGGCCAGGGTCAACACAATGAAGCCACACAGTCTCATCTTCGTCCTGATGATAGAGATCTAGCAGATGGGTCGCTCACAGCTGGACTCTGGAACTGGATCAAACTGTGAGGGGGGAGAGGAGAGGTGGTGGGTGAGATAAGATGGAAGCAGAAAGAAATACAAAAGAGGTTATTTGTGGTAACGTGAGAAGACCTGTGTTTATGAAGTGTCCTTCAGCAAGGCACAGAATTATACTGCTTTGGCTGATTTGCACTATTTAGTGATGTGTCAAAAGACGTTCAGACATCAGCTCTTTAATGACGCAGGTATTAACCACATTATTCATATTAAGTTTCAGCTTTGTCGTACTGTGGTGTCAGAGGTATTGCATGTAAATTCAGAGTCTGGGTTCAATATCAAAGTTGGAGTGACCTTTAAAAACAGAGCTTGAGTCATACAAGCTTCAGAGGTGGTGCGAACAGGCAAATAATGCTTTGTGTCCAGTGTTTGGCTCAAACAAACACACAAACACACACACAGTGACCCTGAGACTCAACTGTCTCAGGGTCACTGACCAGGCGGCAGTATTTGACGAGTTGGGAGTGAGAACGTGTTGTGTAAATTGTTTTATTAGGCAACCTCAAATTATGTTGCCCTGTCAATAGTGTCGTACTTTGTTGTCTAATTTCTAGGACTAGTTTGGAGTCTGAATGTGAAGGAAACAGAATGTAGTTTCCCACAACAACGTAGCATTCCTCGTGCAAAACGTTGAGCCATACGTCACCAAACTACTAGTGATTTTATTCTCAATAAAACAAAATGTTAAGTATTATTTTTGCAATTTTCACCTTCTCCCACAATTCCACTGCTGAAAAATGTTATAACATACATTGCAATATTAAAAAATAAAATCAGTAATTTTAGGCTGCAACAATCCAGAATTTCCATGTTTTTCCCTCTGAGCGTCACATGACGTCACACATTTGTGCTGTAACGCCCAATCTGTTCTCTTTTAATGGAGTGAGCGATTAGAGTGTAGACACTCCAGTAAATTCCTGCCCTGTGTGTCTGTAACGTGATAATAATGTCGATGGAGGGCTTGCGTTGCGGAGGGACATTCCAGTCCTGCCCCATCATAAAACACTCGGCTGCAAACACCTGGAGAAGGTGCACAGCAATTCGTGTTAATGGAAGGCTGCGGATAAACACACACTCAGTCCCTAATCTCTCTGTGTGTCTGTCAGTATCCCTGTAGGCTATCACCTCTACAGCAGCAGAGGGGTAATGATAATGTCTGGGAAGTGTTTATGTTCAGGGCACACGGTCAATTCAAACAGGCACCATGAAAGCCATCTCTCTTCCTCAGGTCCACAGAGAGGGGTCCTTCGGGGGTTTATCGCTATCTGACTGGCAGCCAGAGCGTGTGGTCATCACTGGCTCATGGCTGAGCATAAAGGCTTTTTTCTGTGTTTATGTCTCTGTTTGTCTCGTTGTCTTTCTCAGTAGATCTCGCTCTCTCTCACTCTCTCTCGCTCTAATTGCCGTACTTTCTCTTATCCACGTGTTTTCAGGAGCATCTCAGTAGTAAAAGAAAGGTCAGCCAGACATTTGGAGGACATTATTCATGCTTCTACATTTTGGCAACGACTGTACAGGATACATTGTCCGCTTAAGTTTAGACAAAGGTCCCACTTCCTTCACATGAAGTATAGGTTTAACTATGTAACAGACATTACGGCACTGAAGGGACACTTGCCTGCTAGAAATGCTACCAGACTAAAACAAAAGGTAACTGTTGGTGTTTTGGCCTAAACATTTTGGAACTGTCATCGTCACTCATCAAATCAGGTGGATCTGTTGAACTAGTACAAATGACAGATGCCAATTTGACGGCCTCTGTACCTTATGTCTCATGCTTCTGCTTACAGAGAGACAAAAGGTTTGAAATCAATAGAAAAACCCAGCTGAAATTTTGTACCCTATAGAAATTGTGGATGTTTCAGAGACTTTAATCATTTCTGATAATGTAATTCCAACCTCAACACTAAAACTAGGACAAACTACTTCTCTCATGTAAATAAATAAATAAAGTGAAATGCACAGATGCCTACACACACTCTCACATATGCTA